GATGCTACGCGAGAACCTCTCCGGTAAAAGGGGTCTTTGGGGGCCTCTCGGCCTCCTGCCGGGCTCTGCCGACTTCAGCTGCTCCTGGATGTCCTACCAGGCTGCCCCCTTGGTTCAGAGAGCCCCCATCAAAGCCAGCAAGGGGGGGTGGAGGGATGAGGGGCGGTGGCGGTGGTGCCCGCAGCAGAATACCCTTCGCACACCTGCCCCGCGCGCCCGGGACCCCAGCTCCTCAGCCGTGCGAGCCCTCCGTGGCCAAGTTTCTCACCTGGGATGGTGCGGTTGCAGGAGGCAGAGGCCGCCAGCAGGATGGCACCCGCCAGCAGCCACGCCGCGCTCAGGCCTCGCATCCTGCCCGCAGCCCCGACGCCGGGCGGCGGAACCCGCCGCCACGGACTCGAAACTCAGAACTCCACCCGCCGCACCGAGAGAAAGCCAGCCTCTCGCCTGCCCCTGACGCGAGCCTCCGCGCGCGCCTCCCCAGGGCCGGATAAGGTTCAGGGAAACCGGAGTCGCCGGGTGCACCTGCGGGAGGCCCCGCCCCGGGCCCGGAGCGCGCGGCCGGGCCCCGCCCCTCCGCGTGCTCGGCGCCGGCCCGCCGGCCACCTGGCGCGAGCCTAGCCGCCCCTGCTCCCGGTACCTAGGCTAGGTCCCGGCCGCGCGCGGAGCCGCCCGCGGGCGGGCTGGGTGGGTGAGGTGGCCACATTGGAATGCGAACGGCAGGAATCCCAGTCTGCGCTGTGCCTAAACTACCTTTAACCTTCATGACTCCTGGAGAGCTAGCGCCCGCAATCTCCTCGCCTTTCTGACTGTCAAAGAGCCAGGATCCGAGCTCGCTGCAGTTATCGCTGGCAGTGGATACGGGGAGGTCTTCCCGGGTAGTGGACGCTGCGGGACGCGGGATGACTTTGGATCCGCAGAGACAGGGCGGACAGCCGCAGACACCAACGAAAGCGGTGCGGAGCAGAAGGGTTAGGTCTAGATTAGGTTCCTGCTCCGTTGTTAACCAGCGGTGACTTGAACAAACCTCTTCACTTCTATTCCTCTTCTGGGAGGGGAGCAGGAGAGAATAACGGAACGGCGACTTTAACTGCCAGTGTCAACGCTTTAGGAGCACTATCTTGTTCATCCCTCAACAGCCAGTGCAATAAGTAGGGTTCTTCCCATTTCACAGGGGAGGAATGGAGCTTAGAAAGATTATATAAATGCCAGAGTACAGTTTATAAACAGTTTTATAAATGTCTGTCACATTTAAACTCTAGTCTATTGACTGCCACTTTCTTCTGTTAATCACTGCACTGTAAGGCTTCTGCTAGAGGCTCTTCTGCATTCCGGCCCCACAGAGGCCAGATTAATATGTCAGCATGTAGACGGGGTGGGGAGAAGAGGACTGTGCCACTGGAGTGAGTGCCCAGGGTCATCATCATGTTAGCAATGTCTTTTTATTGCTTTAAAAAAGGTAGATAAAACAAAGTTCATCTTATCTAAATTGTTGTACTGGAAGAAAAGAGAAGAGAGACATGGGTGTTTTCAGATATTTGAAGATGCTTCTGGAAGGACTAGATGTGTTTTGAGCAGCTCCAGAGAGCAGAAATAGGTAGAAGCCTGATTTCAGTTCAACTTGTAAAAAGATTTTTAACACATTCCTGCCTGTCTTAGTCTTAGGGCTGCCCACTGTGGCTGAGAACTGAATCACTGCAGGGCTCACAGCAAAAGACAAGGGCATCTGTCTGGCATGTTGGAAACAGGGTTCCTTCCCAGGGTCAGGGTCCAGAATGGGTGTGTCTCGATAGCCTCTTGAGGGCTCAAGCCTGACAGAGAGTTCATGATTCTTCCTAGAAGAAAAAAGTTAGTTGCCAGAGACCATTATTCATTTCTGAACAAACATAAACTAAATGACCACAGTCACTAGGCCTGTAAGTGTCTAAGGCAGAGTCATATCTGATAAAGGGCCTGTGGCTTGTGTGTGATCCTCTTACTAAATCCACCATGGGTCAATAATGTGAACTAATGAGTTGCATGCACATTGAGGAAGACAAAATCGTATAAAATGTCATGTTAATCAATTGTTTCAACCATATAAAATTTCCCCAAAATTATCAAGTGGATGATTGTAGTCTGTCTTTCCTCTACCCTGACAGAGGCTCAAGAGCAGGGAAATAAATGGCTAAAAGGAACACAACAAATGCCCCTGAACATGCCATGAGAATGGAGGATTGGTGTCTGCATGACAGAAATGGACTGTTTAAAAAAAAAAATTCGCCCAATATTCACAGACAAGGGTAGCCAGGAAAAGCGTCCAGTTGATGAAAATTCCTTTTAATGACAGCCACATCTCTTAGGGGGTCTCTGAGTACCCAAGAAAGGGGAGCTGTTATAGAATGACTGCCCCAAAGTAGAATCTTCTGTTCCCAGAGAAAAGCATCAGGTCCAGCGGTTTCACATTCGAGTTTCACTGGTATTTTTATGAGAATATGCTTTGAATCATCAAAATTTCCAAGAAAGAATCTTATTGAACAATGCTATGAGTTATTATCTCAAGAATGGGTATTACAGGACCTGTTAAATGAACTATGCTCATTTGAGTCAGTTTATAGTGTTTTCCTGGTAACTTTAGGAGGACAGTATTTGTTTTTTAGGTATTGGTGACTCCTTTGCCTGAATGTATGGCTGTGTGTGGAACTGTACAGAGAAAGGCCACAGGCAATTCCAGACGACCTGGCTTCCAGAGATTGGAACTCTGTGAAATTCCTCAGCCCTTATGACTCTAAGGAAGAATTTAGACACTAAGGAAAAGGTATTTAATTCAAATAATTCTATAATCATTTATCAAATTCATAAACTCTTCCTGAAGAAACAAATCCCTGACCTCTTGGGTCCTAATCAATATAATGAGAAAAAAGTTATGCTCATTATTCCACTCATTTGCTGAGCACTGACTGTGTACAAGTTTAGCAGTGCCCTTCACTACCAACCTGACCGTAGAATTTGACACAATTTGATCTCCTCCTCTTTCTGGAATGTTATATTCACGTGGTCTCTAGGCTAACTCTTCTCCTGGTTTCCCTACCACCCATGGCAACTCAAATTAGTTCTTTGTTGTTCCTACCCACCCTCCCTGACTTATATACTCTGCAGTGCCCTGGGTTAATCCTTGAGCTTCTTTCTTCCAATGTATACACTCAATCCTTTGGTGACCTCATTTAGTCCAATGGTGTTAAACACCATCTATATGCTGACAACTCCCAAATTTATATTTTTACCTGAGATTTTCCAGTCCAGACATATAACGCATTATCTAACTACTCAACATTCCCCTGGAGGTGTCTACAGGCATGTCAAGCATAAGTCCAAAACCAAATTTTGGATACACTCCACTCCGCCTCTCTTTCACAGTCTTCACTTCTCCTTAAATCACAACTCCATCCTTCCAAATTGCTCAGATCAAAATTGAAGTCATCCTGACTTTTTATGTTCCACATCAGATCTACCAGCAATTCTATCTGAAAATGTATCTAAAATATCATCATGGTACAAGTTACATTATCTTTCCCCAGATTATTACAACAGTCTTATAACTTGTCTTCCTTTTTTCCCCATAACCTCTACACAGTCTTCTCTCAACGAAAGCGAGAGGATTCCTTAGAAGCCAGAGTGGGGCTTACTCACCCAGCATCCTTAGCTTGTAAGCCATAGAGCTGAGAAGTCAGGATGGCAGCCAAAGATTGAACCGGTGTTGTGGTCTATCATCTATCCAAGGCTTCTAGACCCAAAGAAATAATCTCTAATGATAATCATTTCAGGCATTAGTGGCCAATTGCTAGCTAGCCTTATGGTCTTTGAGTTTTTTAGCTTTTAGTTTTTTTCTGTCATTCAAACAAAAAGGGGAAACATTTTTAAAGAAAAGAGTTATGAAGACTTTCAAACTTGGACTAGAAGTGAGGTTGGTGATGCATCACTGAGCCATGTGTGAGTTCCATGACATCGTGGGAAATACAGCCACCATAGCAATCGTACTTTTTGAAGAACAATAATGCTATAGGGAGCAGAACTAGCATCCCAACCTCAGGAAGGCTCAGGTGGCACCTCTGTGCCAGTGATTACTTATAATAAATAAGTGCATGATGGGGAGCAGGTGGAGAGTAGTCATTATGCCGTATGCTGATGACTAAAGAGATGGAAAGGTTGATCTGCAGGGGCTGAGATGCTCGCTAAGCAGCTCTTGTGGTAGGATTGTATCCTCCACCTCTCCAGTTCCACCTCCCTATCTCTTCCATCTGCAACTTACCTGATTGATTTTTTCTTTTTGTCTGGTAAAGTTATCCTACCGATCTCAGTATGTAAAGTCAGGGTTAAGCATGGATGGTTCCCTGCCAAGAGCTCCCGTTGCCCTCAGGATTAAAGTCCGGAGTCTTGGGTAAACACAAGACCTTCATAGGTGGGCACAGCGCAGGGTCGGGATGGCGCCAGTGTGGCCTACTGTGGAAAGGAGGGTGCACCAAAGACAGACTTGGCACTTTGCCCTACTCCGGAAGCTTTCAGAATCAGAGGGAGTCAGGCTCACCTGCTCTGACCACTAGGGGTGAAAACAACCAGGCTCCTTTCAAAGAAACCTAACTGCTGACTTTTCTTATAATTCATTCCCAACATCTCTTTAGATAAGTGGCAAAAGGGGACGGGAATATTTAATACCAGAATGTTTTCTCAGTCGTGCTAGTTGTTCCTGCTTTCTCTACTTCAGTGACCACAGGCTCACCCACCACTTTCAGTGGTTCCTGATAGCTCCTTCTTGGACTTTCATCTCAAAAAAGAAATATTTCTTCTGTCTGATTACAAATGCAGCACAGGTTTGTTGGATTTATTGAAAATACAAAAAGAAAGTGGCGGGGTGTGGTGGCTGACACCTGTAATCCTAGCACTCTGGGAGGCCAAGGCAGGAGGATCCACTCAAGGTCAGGAGTTCGAAACTAGCCTGAGCAAGAGCGAGACCCCGTCTCTACTAAAATAGAAAGAATTAATTGGCAACTAAAAATATATAGAAAAAATTAGCTGGGCATGGTGGCACATGCCTGTAGTAGTCCCAGCTACTCAGGAGGCTGAGGCAGGAGGATTGCTTGAGCCCAGGAGTTTGAGGTTGCTGTGAGCTAGGCTGATGCATGGACTCTAGCTGGGCAACAAGCAGACTCTGTCTCGCATAAAAGGAAAAAGGGAAGAAGGAAGAAAGGAAAGAGAAAGGAGGGAGAGAAAATGAAAGAAGAGAGAATGAAGGAAGAACCAAGGAAGGAAGAAGGGGGGGACTCAGAGATATACTCTTAACATTGGCTGTCTTTCTAGTGAGCTTTCTTTTTAAAAAATCAGAGGGAGATAACTTGCATACTTGTTTTGTTACTTAGTTCTCACTCAACAACATAGTGAACATTTCCCAAAATGGTTAAATATTCCTCCATAGCACCATTTCCAATTACCGCAGAATAGTTCATCTTCTCAGTCAATCTTAATTTAATTAATCCGTTATAAATATCC